TTTCCCCCCTAAAACAATGATTTTGGAAATGAATGCTGCCCATTTTCCACTTCCAACAAGAACTAATAAAAGAGCCACAAAACTATGGAAAGCAAACTGCCTTCACTGTATTTTCACTGTATTTCTCTTTTCTTTACAGCATTTACTTTGGGCAGGGTAGTGCACTTGTGCATAACTGTAAAGCTTTTGTTGATTGGACCTTTTATCTTTTGTCTGTGTTTCTTTTTAAAAGTAAGATATTGAGGCAGTTTCAGGAAGAACATGGCATTTGTAATTTTCAGCATTTGGAATAAATAATTTTGAAGCTTTCCTCTGCATTACTTGAGTTTGCTCTCCTTATGCTCCCAATTTTAGCAAGAACACATGCCTAATTAGGGAATGACTGATTTAAGTGTAGGTAATGTTTGTATTTATTAGGTGTATGTAACAGGAAGAGTTCTTACTTTTCCCTGTATGTGGTCATTGTTGCCAAGAAAATCTAAAATCAAAAATTCCTCTGTACCTGAAATATTAATGTTTTATTTCTAATTATGCTCAAGTAATTTCTTTGAGCTATTACACCTCTCTTTTCTCATTTTCTTGACCTTCCGACAGCTCAGATTTAATAGAAAGCTCTTCTCTTTCTAAAGCTGCTGCTGTCTACATGTAAACATGGAACAATTCCTTTCAAGTATCTTTGTGGCTGTGATTAAGTAGAATAGTAGCATGCCATTATGAGGTTTGGTTGGGCTTTGTCTTGGCCTTAGTATCAAATTATCTCCAAGAACTGTAGACTAAACCAGATTTTTAATTTATCAGAAATTACAATAGCAGTTTAAATCCTTGGATGAAATTGTTACTCTCTAACTTGAAAGGAATGACCAATGATTAATATTTATAATTTTTAGTAATGGAAAACTCTACAGTTTAGTGATTTGATAATTTTAAGTAAGCTGGATGAAAATAGCTAACATGAATCCCGGGTATTAGGGAAATAAAGAGCAGTTGAAGTACTTTGCATCGTGTGGTGGTTTCAGAATGTGCCAGAGGGATTCATTTTGGGTCAAACAAACCAAAGTTGTGCCCCAGCAGCACCTCCTGCTCAGTCCCTCCCAACCTTGCTGCTTGCTAATGGCAGCGTGGGCTGGGAAGCACTCAGTGACCATTCCTCTGACTCTCAAAAATAAAATAAAATCCTCAAATCCTCAACTCCAGCAGCTTTTAGTCAGTGTTCCAGAGGGCAGTGAAACTCTGCAGCAGCAGAGGCAACATGCAGCTCTTGGTGGAAGGAGATCTAAAAACCAGAGCTTGGATACAGGCAGCTCTTTGTGTCTTGTGCAGTTGAAAGTGGAAGAGCAATTTGGTCTTTCAGCACTCAGGTGGGGAGTGGTGAGTGAGGCAGCAATCACAGCTGACATCAAAGCTGTGCTCCAGCATAATAAAGCCTGGAATAAACCCAGTGCCTTTCACACTTCCCTGTTCTGCTGATCAGGACAGCTCTCCTTGATCACATAGCTGGAAAGATGTAGCATGGAAGGCCTTACTTTTTCAGTTTCTGGCTAATAAGTTACATGTCCTAATGGACCAGGAAGATTTTCAAACCCTGATCTGTTTCCAACTTTTATATTTATTTTTTGTCAGTAGGTAATATGTACTTCCTTGCTGCATGATATATTAATGTCAGTGAATTTTATGTAGTGATTAGTATTAGATCTGCTTTGGCTATGTTATCACCCTCTACTGTCTTCATATGCTTAAGATCATAAAATCTGGTTTAAAATGCCTGCTTTAAATCTTAAGTGTACTTGGAACTTGACACATTTAATTTAAAGCTATGGAGATTAAACTGGCCATTAAACAGACCTAAAACACTAGCATGAAATGTAATTGTTTTCTGAAACTTGCACTTATAGTCTTTACTTTAAAACATGAATTTATATCAGATTAGCTAAGTCATTCAGAGATGATCTCAAATATACTATAAACCCACAGACTGTTGAAATTTGAATTATGTTTAAGCCAAAGTGCCCATAGAAATATAAAAGCCTCATAAGGAGCATTGGTGAATTTCTCAGTGGGGAATAAAATGGACTAAGTGGAAACATTCTATTTTGTGTTCAGTACAATGTATGAATGAAAGTGCATTGGGAACATGCAGCCTCTTTGGAGGTGCTTGTATCTAGGGGCTAAAAATGTTTTTCTGCTGCTTTGGTGAGTGGATAAAAAAAGAGTTCTTTGAACATTTGAAGATTTTTTTTTAATTAACTTTTCGGTTTGGGTTGTTTATCAGATGCAAGTCATTGGTTTCAACATCAGTTTGCTATGACAGCTGATAGTGTGTTTTTAGTGTTTCTTTTTTTGTTTGTTTTTAACTGCTTGGCTGCATTCTTTCCTACTTGACTTATACCAGACAGGTAGCAGTACCTATTGCAGCACTGACAATCAGTTTCCATTGTAACCTCCTGTGTAACCTTATAAAATATCTGCATTTTACACTGAATTTTCCATGCTTGGAAGCCAGATTTTGCTTGCCTGAATCTAGCAAACATTCCTCTTCTCCTCAAGTGCCTAGCTGCTCATGAGCTTTTCACAAGAAAATGGAATGTGTGTTAGAAACCCTTAGTTTTTCTTGTTATCTTTTTCAAATTGTTATTTCAGCTTCAAATATTGGCATGTTTTATATTCCAAGCATACTATTGATTAATGTCCAAACACTTTGTATTTTAAATGTTTAAACTACAAAGATGAGAAATGCGAACAAGTTTACTGCTCTGTATCCTACTGACAAATTTGTTTATGAGAGATTAGGCAACAGTGTGATATATACAATTAGCTAAGAAGTATGGTGGGGTAATTTTGATTCTCTCCTGCCTGTAAATTAGGAAAATCTTCCAAAAATATTGTTATTAATCACTAGCACCTAACAGGATTATTTTCCAAAGTGTTCTACACATATAAACTAAACAACGCACTGTTAAGATAGGTCAGTAGGTGTTGTAATTGTTTTACACCTGGCAAAACCGAGGTAGAACTGCTAAGTACTTTAAGCCAGGCCACTTGAGGTTTAGAATGCATCTCTCTCATCGTTAGCCCGGTGCTGAAATCCCAGGGTGACATCACTGCCGTGTTCCCTCGCAGAGATCTGTGATAGCCCGGTGGAAGCAGGGGAAGGATGCCAGATTATGTCAGCCCCTCTCGTGTCTGGGCTGTGCCTCGTGTCAGGGCTTGCATCAGCTCAGACTCTGCAGCAGGCAGCACTGCAGGCCTTATGGGGAACTGTTCTTACCAAACGTGGATTTGTTCTCCATATTTTATTGCTTAATTATGCATCAATGAGGGCAGTTGGCTAAAGTGTAAAAGGGAGGTCTCTGCTGTAATAAGCTTTATGGAAATGTAAGGATAATATGGTGTGAATATGAATTACTCTTATGTAGACCTGATGAAAAAATCCTCTTTACAGTCTTGTTCAGTCTTGCATGCTGAAATGTGACCTTTACCCCAGTCTAGACATGTCCTTTGCAAGCTATTTCTAGTTTATATGAAGACTGCTTGGTTTAAACCAAGTATGTTAATCTGATGCTGTCATGACTGATGGGGTTTGCAGTCCGAGATGCTGACAGCTCTCAACAGAGTCAGCGAAAGCCCTGTAAGCTTCTCCAGACCATCCTGCAAATGACATGCCATCTCCTTTTTATGAGATAACTTGTGAGCTTCAGAAGGTGAACTTACTGCAAGAGAGAAAGTGCAGCAGGTCTTACCCTCCTTCTCCACCACAAACTGCTTTAAATTGTGATTGCTTTAGGAATCTCCTGTTAGCTGGCATCTATATTTGGTACAGTTCTAGCCAAGAGTCTAGAAACTGCTTGATGGCAGCTGCCAGCTTTCTGTTGAAATTGCTGTGTAAATGACAAAATATACTGTTTAATTACACCCCTATTTATTAAGTTTATTCATGGGTAAATGTCCAGCAGTAACTTGCACATTTCAGGCCTTTTTTTCTTCCCTGAAAGGTTTCAACCTTTTGGAAGGGAATGCTCATCTCCTCGCCCTGTCCTCACCGCACAGCTGGACTCAATATTCATTCTGCATTCAAAAGATGATTGCTCGTTTTCTCTTGTATACAAACTAGTTGGCTTCTCAGGGCAGTGTAAAATGCAGGAGGAGTAAGGGCAGGAAAGTCTGTGCAGAACATTTGCTGCATATCTGGGCTGCTGGAGACCTCCAGTGCAGGGAGATGCTGCTGGCCCAGCACGGGCTGGGTGTGCTGAGCAGCCTCAGGTGTGCTGTGATATCTCACCAGGCACAGATCCTCCAAGCTAAAGCTGTTTCTCTGATCAGACAGGTGTCAGACAGTCCAGCTGGATGTGCCAGCTATGATTCTGACAGAATTAACTCCTCTGTAGCTTGAAATGAGCCCCTTTTCCTTTCCCAGCCTGTTCTCAAATGCTCTTCCCCGGTTGTGAATAGCATCCTGAACTAATACGGAGCACTGCCTGTGCTAGCTCCAGCCATTCCTATTTCTTCCTTGCAGTAATATCTTCCTGAAGATAGGAAAATAATTCAGTGTAATGGCTTCCTATTGGACTAGATAAGCCCTCAAGATATTTTCCAAGCTGAGTTACTCTATGATTCTTTGTTTCTTCCTGTAAAAATAAAATATGTTGGATTTAACCAAAAGCCTGTTACCTGCAGTAGCCACTTCTTTAATGAAATGTATGAGGAAAAAGTGTAACATTGCTTTTTGAATGTCTTTGAGCAGTGATGTTTGATAAGCCAGAGATGATCTCCTTTGGTTTAGTAGATCATTCTGCAATCAAGGCATCTTGGTTTAAACCTCTGTAGGTGTTTAACATGTCTCCATCACAGCAAAATATCCACCCAGAAATACCACACCTTAAAAACCCTTTTTTGTTCCCGCTCCAGAATTTCATGTCTAGATTTTGTAATTATATGCATAGTTTAAAAAAAAAATTACTTGTGTTTGTAGTAGGTGTAATGTGACCTCTCTGGTTTCCTTGCAGACAAGAGCAGAGCAGTCCCAAGGTGCATACTTCCTGCCTGAGTTTGCACTTTCTCCACAGGGGAGTTTTCTTGAGGACACCACGGGGGAGCAGTTCCTCACTTACCGCTATGATGACCAGGTCAGTGTGCCACGTGTGAAAATTATAGAGATGGATTGGCTTATGGAACTCTGATATCAAATATTACTGTGGAACAGAGTAAGATTGAGAGCGTGTCTTATCTTTTGAAGGCACATCAAATTGATAGCAAGTTGAATGATAACATACTATACAAAATCCAGATTAATGCACTCAGTTTCATAAATAAGTGCAACCACTTGTATAAAATATTAACAGGATGTAATGGAGACAAAAGCAGCATGATTTTAGTGATGTTTTGATGTTTATAGTTACATCTGCAGAATATGTAGCATTAGAAGCACTTGCCCTTTCTTGAATTGACTCAATTTATTTTATTTAATGGAAAAATAAGTGTTAGGCAGATTTTGCATTTTCTAGCTTGTGAAAAGTCAGAATACTGTATTAGTTCATGAAGTTTTTGTAAGGGAAGGTTGGGCCAATTATAAAGAAACAAATGGGAATGATGGATGGAACAGTGTTGAGAAAGAAACAAATTATTTTTTTTAAGGTTAAAAAATTTTTAATGCTTTCTCCAGACTCATAGAAACATTATGTTAAACATGGAATATAGATATAAATGTAAAGAAAGCAACATGAAAGAAATGCTGTTAATCTTGGCAAAAGATCTGAAGTAAACCTAGGAAATGTGTGGTGTGCTGTGGAAATTTACTCATAACACAATGTGTTCCAGGAGTCAGTTGAATTTCACATCAAAACTCTCTGAATTACGTTCATGGACACTTAGAGTACATTTCTCAATGTAAGAGGGGGGAGTTTCTTAGGAAACACTCCCTGTGGAAGTGAGAGAAGAGCCAGACTTGCCCTGCATCCCAAGGTGTGGTTCTGTCAGTGATGGGCAGATTTATTTTGGAAGATGGGCTCCTTGCAGGAGCTGCTTGAAGAAAACAGGTTGCTCATCACTGTCCTAAAAGAGAGAACTGAGGTGAGTTTATTTGAGCTTTAATCTGCCAATGTTTTCAGACAGACAAAGGGAAGCAGAGAAGCTACCATAGAAAGCATGCTGAGCCACTGTGAACTGTTTGAATTTAGTTTAAATGTTTACAAAAATTCATACTTTGCTTCCCTAGAGGGTCTTGATTATCAACAGAAAAGGTTCTTGGATAAGACCTTCCTTGGACTAAACACCTGGGAAAGCAATAACTTAGAGGACAGTAAAATGCAGCTGCAACTCAGGCTGCATTTAATGACAGTAGTTGAAAAACACTATAAAGGTTATACACTTTGATCAGAATAGTTTCCATTTAATGGAGCACGTTCTTGAGAAGATGATAAATCAAATATAACAGAGGCTTAGTCTGAGTCTTTGACTAGACTGTTTGGAATATGTGAATAATATAACTGATTAAAAAACAAACAAAATGAATCCCCTTGAAAAAGCCTCAAATACCAGCATAGCTCTATGCAGAAGCCAGTTCAAAGCCCAATTCCATTTGATGGAAAGAATTCCATTTGCTGGAAAGTTTTCCATTAATTCCATTGAGATCTGAATTGGATCTAGGTTATGGCCAGCTTCTGTTCTTTCATAAATGTGATTTAGTTTTGAAGCCTGCTCTTCCCAGACACTTAGCAGTATGAAATTTAGTTTGAATTCCTGGAACTGAAAGTGGTGCTGAAACATCAAAATGTTAAAAGTAAAAGCAACTGTATTAGCAGTAGTTTCTTTTGAAGAAAATTCAGTCCCTAAGCATTATATATTGAAAGTTACAAATACATTGAATGCAGATGGGAGCTGATCTGTATCTCTAGCTTTACCTTCCTGCAAGTATACAAGGATTTCTCTGGTGAATAAAAAGATTTTCCTTGATTTTCTAGGAAATGAATCATAGGTTTGTAATAATACACAGTTACAATTATACTTTTGCTGAAATGCTAATACAAAACTCAATTGTATCATGGTCAAACTGGGTAAGAAAACTAGATTTTTTTTTTCTGTGCTTCATTCAACTCTTTCTTATGACATTTACTTATGAATGGATGGAAGTCTTTGTTGGATAATCTCCTGAATTTTCATAAATGGATAAATGGATAGGTATGATACATGATAAACATGATAAGAATACACCAGTGAATAAAAAGAGAGAAATACATATATATTGAAAGCTTATTTTAACCTATCCAACACAGAAGTGGAATCAGTACTGGAAGGCTACCACATAAATTAAGAATACAGCAGCATCTCCTCACATCTTAATTCCTTAATTTACTTTTAGGAATTAATTTTCTATCCTGCCCTACTGTGAAGGGCTGCTGGCCTTTGGGAAATAAATTCCTTCCTTTTCCCTGATGTCCAGAATTGTCCTCTGGGCATCCCCACAGAGTCCTGGTGTTTCTGTGCATCCCAAGTTACACCTGAAAATTGGCAAATTGAAATAACCTTGTGCACTTAGAACCTCTGTTCTTTTGGCTAGCCAGTCTTGAGACCCTTGCAGGAAAGCCATCTATCCCTATCTTCCCAATGTGCCCTTTTCCCCCTTGTGCTGTTCTTTTTCTCCAGGCCAGTTAAATTTCCAGTGAGGAATGGATAATATTTTTGCATAGCAGCATCATCATCGTCATGATCCAAGATTAGTTTCCTTACATCCTCCAAACACAGGAATGTTTCAAAGGGGTTTTCTTTGGCTGTTGTGTGTGATATTTTTCAAGCAGGGAGCCAGTTTAATCAGAATCATTCATTCCTTTGTTAGTAAGTAATCTCAGTAAAATAGAACTAGCTGTTACTTAAATATTCAAAAGTATTTGCTATCTGAAATGACAAGCTTACAGTTTGAAATGAAAGATGAGTAAATATTAATAGGAACACACTGTACTCTGCTCTAGCCCAGCAGAATTACACATGGATTCATGTTGTACATGCAAGATAGTACATTTTGTTCTGGTTTAATCTGGCAGGACTGTGCTCTCATTTTTGTACAGGACTGCACTAACCTCTTTGCATATTTTGTTGCTCTATGTGTACTTAGGAATTACATGCAGATGAAATTCTTTGGCTGGATATTTTCAAAATTCAGTGAATATCTTTCTTACCACTTCTATGATTATAGAGGAAGATACCTTTAAAGATCTGTTGAAATACTGACACTGGGGTGGTATCTGCATACAGTGGGATATTATAGTTTTGACACATTTATTGCTGTAATCTTCAGGGAAAAACGGCGATTCAAAGCAAATACTTCTCTGGGATCCCAAAGGACAGAAATGTAGAAATGTTTAAATTGAACATTTTCGAAAGGCTTCTGCATTGTTGACCATATGATATCTTGTATCAGTGCATTGCATCCTTAATTTCTGAGATTTTACTGAGTCAATGCAATTTAAACCTAACTTGGTACCAAACAGATTTTGATGCATAGCCAAAGACTTCAACTGCTGTAAAAAATCTGAGACTAAAAAAAATATGGCCCCCTTACCATTAATGAAAATAGTTAAATAACTTAATAAATGTCTGAAAATAAATTAAATTATTAAATGAATATACAAGTAACAACCCTTTCTACAAGTTTGAGATACACATTGAACCTTGCCATAAGGAACAATTTCCTAGTATTCTTTCTGATTTCTTTTGGCTTTTCACCTTTTAATCTACTACAAGGCATTTTCTTCTTTTCCAAAATACTAGTAGTACTGGAAAGCTTTCTTGCAGAAATAAAATGTTCTTGTTTTCTGACACTTAAGGTATTGCTTCCAAGTATTAAAACCATTCCATATGACGGACCACCAAGAAGGACAGCAGTGAAAACTTGGTTGGGCTGAATGTGTTTGAAGTACATTTCCACTTTGATTGGCTGGCTGGCTGAGAGTTCTCTTGGGGGTGTGGGTAAAAAAAAGGGAAGGAAAAAAGAAAATAAGTTTATCTTTAAAGAGAGAAAATGTTTGCTTGACCAGTTAGCTTTCTAGTTGACCTTGCTTCTTTTAAATTGCATGATGTTTACCAGTTTAAATTCACAACTAGGATAGCCTGATTCTGGAATTAGACATATGGCTCTAAGTAGTTCAATCTTGGCAAAGAAATCTAATGTTTCTAAACAAATGTTAATGAAAATCTGCACTATCAGACTTGTGTTTAACTATACAAGGTAAGGTGGAAACTGGTCAGTCTGTTTTCAACTAGATGTGCAAGTTTATAATACCCAGGCTGCAGCTGCTACAGTTCATTTAATACCTGGTCTTTCTTTGGGTTTGCTAGAAAAGTGCCTTGTTATAAAGTGAAAGCCAAAATCAGGAAAATATTCTCATTAATTGTCTTACACATATAGAAATAGTCTGTCTTGGTTTCTTCTTTTTCATGGGGAAAAGGAGCATGACATTAATTTGAAAAAATGCAGTGGAACCCAGGATCTGAATTACTTAAAAAATTAATACTGAAGTAAACTGATGGAACCTATTACTCCAGCAGCAATAGCTGTTTGTGTCTGTTCTGGAAGTTTTTCATATTACACCTAGGAAACCCTTGTGTGGGCAGAAGTTGTCTTATGTGTCCCACTGGGCTGACAGCTGATTTTCCACAGTTTCCTTCATCTCCTTCCCCATTCCACCTGCTGCTGATGGCCATCCTCCCTGCTCTGCTCTGGAGTCCCAGCCTGGCTTGGAGTGTCAGCTGCTTGCTGGCTTCTGCTCCCAGCCTGAGCCTTTTATTCCCTTCCCTTTTGCCTCTAAATCACCAGAGAAATGGAGCCACGCGTTTTCAGGCCTGGGGATGAGTCATGTAAGGGACATTACTGCAAATTAACACATCAGTGAAGACAAGCTCTAATCCCTGGAAAGGAGGAAGATTTGTAGTTGGTGGCTCACTTGCTTCCCATGCACATAAAGCTTCAGTACTCTGATTTGAGAAGGAGCCTGAAACTTGTGTTTTACTCTGGCAAACCATTTTTGTTGATACCCTAAAAAAGCATTCAGAACTATTAGAAAGGCTTAACATCTTGAATCTCAATGTCTAGCTCTTCATTTAGAGAAGAATTTTATCTTAATTGTTTATTTTT